TAATAAGAGTATTTTTATTATATTTGTTCAAAAAATTCGTTATATTAAGAGTTCGCTATATCAAGAGTTGACTGTATATCTAATATATTAACTATATACTGGTCAAAATATTCTATTTTGGCTAAAATTTGGATTATTAGTTTAATGTCAAATTACGAACTAAATCTAGCCTGTTAGTTTATGCCAATTATCACATTTTACCTGTCACTCGATCATGATATTCAATATATAATCAGCGTAACAAATAACAGAATTCAGAGATTTGAATTTAAGCGAATTATTAAACAAACTTTAAATAAATATTAAACAAATATTAAGTGAATTTTTATTAAATAAAACGAAATATACTTATATTTTACTAAATTAATATAATATAACTTCAGAAATTTACTACAAATTATAAAATAAAAAATATGTTAATAATAATCTTTCTCATATTCCCTATATTGATCACTATCATAATCTCTATATTTATTGTCATTTTCATCATCTTGAATAACACCACAGATTTCACTCATAGGTGATGTTTCACTTCCTTTAACTGTTTTGTTTAATAGTCAACTTTGAGAAGCTTTAAAATCAATTTTGTAATCCATATCTTATTCTTTATAAGTCCAATCCAAAGCATTGCAAGATTCAGCAAACTTATAAAAGTAAATTTCATCATTATGTTAACAATTTCTCATCAGTTTGAAGGTTTGCAATATTAGCAAATGAGAATTAATTATGTTACGTAAAAGATTTTTAGCTAATATAAAATATTAGTTTTTATAATTGTGAATGTCAAATAAGAATTAAAATGTATTGATCAAATCTCTTTCAACCTTTAAGAAAGGTCATAAGTGTTGATATTACAATTTACATTTGCTGGATTTTTATCATCTATTTTGCTAAGCTCTGGTGAATGATAGTGATTATTTTATAATATCTTTAACACTTTTTCTTATTCATATTTCGCTACTTGATTATCTTTCTTTTTGAAAAGAGATTTGGTACCTTTTATATATCAGAACTTTTTTTATATTTAATAAAACAAAGTTAGTAAATAACAAATAATTTTAATAAAAAATGTAACTTTATTTACCTCATTAAGTCAGCTATTGCTATATAAATGATGATTATCTTTATCAAGCTTCCCATTTTTCTATAGTTATATCAGCTTCTTTTATGCCTATGCAAAGCCTGTAGCCAATTCCTTAATTGATCATAAGAAGGATTATATCTTAGCCTCATTGCTTTCATCAATTTGAATATCAGCTTTCATAAAATTTCATTATTGAATCACTTGTAAACCTTTCATCATATTTCATTTCATTTTCAGCCGGTAAGGTTTTAAGTATTGTCTTTATTTTATACTAATAAAATAATATTAGTTATTAAAACTAGTATAACAAATGAAAATAATATAAAATTTTGAATCCTTGCACCGTTTACATCTAATTCCTCTTCATCATCGCTATTTCTGATTGATTTTTTTCCTTTAGATTTCTTTTTAATTTTTTGACATTTAACTCTTTAAGTGGTATTATAATCTGTCTCATTATCTGACTCAAAATTGACTTATAAGTCAATTCCATCTTCTGATCTCTTATCAGTCGACTGTAAAATCTTTGGCAATCGGAAGGATTTGCTTCATTTAAGTTCTTCATGTAATTTATCCTATTCCTTTCCAAATTCCTAATTAATAAAAAATAAAGTTTCATTTTTCTGGTGCAATTTGTCTAACGTTCCAGAAAGTGCTTCATTTGACTTTGTAACTTCTGGTTATCTTCTTGTAATTCAATGATTCATACATGTAACTGAGCAATTTTTTAAATAATTAAAAATCAGTATATTAGTAATATTATAAATATAAAATTTAAATAAATCTGTACCTATACCATCAACATTTCTATCTTTTGGTAAATTCAAAGTACTTTTTTCTTTAACAGGAGGTAAATGCAATCTCATAGGTAGACATATATTTAGAATCGATCTGATTTTGCTAAAGTCTCTTTCTTTATTTTGCTTACTAGAAATGGCTAGCATAAAGTTAGTTTCTTGACAAATTGTTTTTGCTAAATTTTTTTTTAAAAGAAAGTGTTAGTATCAGTTCTATTCAGCATAAGCAAAAATTGGTCAAAAACCACCAGAATAAGTAATAGCAGATGATTCTGAAATAGGTGTAGTTGGTCAAGACTTATTTCTTTGATGATTCATCTTTATATTTTTAAATTATTAGCATAAATGTTAAGTTACAACGAATATTTTAAAGAAGTTAAATGGAAAAATGGGCTTCTTTTATATGGTTGAATTTCAATAAACTTCAGTAAACTTTACTATATAGACTATATATAAATATACTTTCATGTGATAATACAATAGAAATAAACTTTTAGAATAAAATTTTAAACTAAACGCGTTTATATATTTTAATAATATTTTAATAAACTTTTGGAATGAATTTTAAACTTCAACGTATTTATACATTCTATAAAATCAATTTAAAAAATGATAAGAAAAAGATCAATATCGAATGTAATTTATGAAGAGTCAACTACTTCTTGACCAATTGCCAAGCTAACTAGCAGAAGGAGGCTGAAAGTTTCTTGTCTTTATAGTAATGTAATAGAAATATGGTTGATTCACATACAAAAAGACTACATATGTCAAATAAACAAAACAATCACTTAGCTCAGGAAGATATCAAATTACTTTAACCAAATGTTAAAAATGAACAGGATAAAGAGACTTCAATAACTTCAGCTGCTTTAGAATAAACTTTTAACCAAAATAGACAAAATAACGAAGAAACTCAAAAAACTACCAATGATTTTAACTATCTTAATGCTTTATTACCTTAAAAACATAGATATACAAATCGTCAAACATTGTTTGTCAAACTTCTAACTATGGAACATAATGATACAGCAATAGAGAACTCTGAATTCAATACTGAGGATGATGATAATGTATCAAATAAAACTGACCAAGCTGATTGTGATTATGCTGAACATTTTAAAGATTATTCACTATCTAACTACAGACTGTTTAAAGATCCAATTGTTTCAGAATCAATAAATGATAGACGATTTTTATGGATTTTGATATAGATCATGAATCTTTGAGTTAAATATCATATATCAGAAATAGCTACTGAAATTTTAGTTAAATTCATGAAAATATTATTAGAAGAAATCAGTGATGATGACTTTGATGGTTTTCCTAACTCACTTTATTTAGTAAGAAAGGAATTTGATCTGAAAGATCAATTTCATAGTTTTGTAATATATTTGAAGTATCACAAACTATATCAGAAGAAAGAAGTGATAAATTTCCAGCAAGCTAAAATTTTAGCAATTATGAAGTATCAACACGTTAAATATTTAAATTCAACAAGTCAGAAAACATATTTATATTAAACACTATTATTTTAGCAAATGAAATTATTAGATAGTCAAATAACTAATCAACCTAAACTAATATATCCATTCGTTAAAATTCACCAACAGTTAGCTACTTTATATCGTCAACCAGAATTTGAAAGTTCCCTTAAACATTGGGCAAATCAGTCAAATTTTGATATTTTAACCGATATAAATGATAGCCAAGTATGGAAAAATTTCAAAAAAATAAATAACGAAGAATTGCCAAACTTTTTGCAAAATAAAATGGCTGATTCATATCTTGGGCTAATGCTAAACCTTGATTGGTTCCAACCATATGATGGAACTATCCATAGCACTGGTATCATTTATACTGCAATTTGTAACTTATCTCGTGATTTACGATTTAAACATGAAAATCTACTAATCCTTAGTCTTTTATTTGGGCTAAACGAAGTTAGCTTATATAGAATTAACTACTATTTGGCACTAATTATTAATGATCTTGAGTTACTTTAGGGTGGAGTGACTCTAGATCACACATATGAGTATAAGGAAGGAAAATATATTCGTGCAGCTCTAGTTTTTGTTTTATGTGATATTTTAGCTGCAGGAAAAATCTGCGGACATGTTTCAGCACTTGTTTCATATCACAGATGTAAAAAAAAGTGAACTATGAAAATCGATAGCATAATTATGCTGGAATGGGTGATATGAATGAATGGTTCTTTATTCAGGATTCAATATAATACTGACAAAATACAATAGATTAGCGATGTTGCAAATATAATGCAGAAAGAGAAAGATTTGTTAAAAAAAATGGTATAAAGTGGTCTGAGTTACTTCAGTTATCATATTTTGATCTAATTTAGTTTATTATCATTGATCTGATGCATTGCCTATTCTTAGACATTGCAAAGTAAATTATAAAATGAATTTAAATTGAAAAGGATGTTTTAACACTAAATATATTAGAAAATGTTCAGAAAAAAATGAATGAATTTCAAATGCTGGCCGATTTGAATTGAATTCAGGCAAAATTAATTGTGAGAAAGGTTTTGTGAACTTGATAGCTGATTAGTTGCGAAACATTTTTACAATATATGCCACTGTTTCATTCTGGAAACATTTACCAAATAAAGATCATAAAATTTTTACATATTTTGTAAGAGTTTATATGATTTTGGTAAATCAAATTATAGAAGTCGATCTAATGAGAGAAGCTTACCAAAGATTAATTGAAATAATAAAGATAATTGAAGAATATTATAGTCGAGATAAGATAACTCCAAATCTCTATCTCTCACTTCATTTATATGAATGCGTAGAGACTGGACTCGTATTCGTTTAACTTGAGTCAACTCGAGTTAAATTCTGATTCAAGTCAAGATTTTCTTGATTCGAGTCAAAATTCGAGTTGACTCGAATTAAAACTACTTGAGTCAACTTCAAATTTATGCTATATTTTATAAATAACATGTAATTCTTTTCTTAAACTGCATTTATTAGCATAATATAATTAACATTTATTATATAATCATTGAATAAAAATTTTTTAAAAAAATTTCCTTTAGTTCAGCTCCAAAAATATCACAAAATTTTGGCCCGCATTGTACTTTTCTGGCCCGCATTATGACTTAACTCGAGTTTGACTCGAGTTTCTGATTCAAATTTCCAACTCGAGTACTCTTCAAGTCAAAAATTTCTTGATTCGACTTTGACTTGAGTTAACTTTTCTGACTCAAGTCCAAACTCTATAAATGCGCATATGATTTTGATCTATTATATGCGTTCTGATACTTTAGTTTTGAACACATAAATAGAATTATAGGTAAATTGAAAACTGTAAATTCTAACAGTTAATTTCTATATATTTATTTACTTATTTTTAATTTAGGCTCTTTATCAAATAGTCATCAGCAAATCAAGCCTAAAATCATGTGTCGATTAATAAATGATAACCAAATCGCTAAATTGACAAATTTCAGAATTAAGACAAAAGGCCTCTATTTGCTTAATAGTTAACCAACTGTTAGATCTTTATCAGCAATAGATAATTTCTCTTCAGACGAGATGCACTGATTTTGGTTGAACTCTCGTCTAATATAAGAATCAACAATAATCAGAAAGGAACAATTTTTGGATGAGATACTAAAACCTTCTTTGAAAATATATTACTTTCGAATTTAATATTTGATTTGTTAGTCGAATATTATATAATGACTTATGAATCATTTGAATTCTAAAGGTCATTTATAGAAGGTTCAGAAAATGCTATAATAATCTAAGTCAAAATAAAGCAATTTGAAAGATGTCGAATTAGTTCTGAAATATTTAGCTCTGCTGTTTCAGCTTGTTATGTGAAGAGCTCATTTGTTTTAGCCAGATTTGTAACTGATAATGATAGTGTTGATTGCTATCCTGGACAAATTCAATATTTCTTTATACATACATTTGATTTGTCGAATGGTCCTGCTAAATATACTTTGGCCTACGTTCAATGATATCATCATATAGGCTCTCAATATCAATTCAAAATTGATGATAAAGAAAAAACTAGTAATGCTGAATTATGGGATACTGATTTTTATCCAGAAAGTCAGAATTGCATCATTCCAGTTCATAACATTCTTGAAAGATTTGTACCAGTAAAATATCAAATATCGAATAAGTGAAATGCGAAAAACTATTTGGCTGTGAATCTGATTAATAGAAAATTTTATATTCAGGAGAACTTTATATGCATAAAAAAATTAACTTATTAAATTTTTAACTTTATAATATATATTTTATATTTACATGTATTTACTGAAATTTATATGTTTCATGAATTTATAACAAATATTTTATTATTTATTGTTAAAGATTTAGTCATAAATCGGCTACTAATCATTTAATTCAAATGTAAATCAAATTTTAGCAATCCTTAATGTCAGCTGAAATTAAGGTGAAAATTGGCTGATTTGTCATATGCCAAAAATTTTTATTTCGACCAGTAATATTAATATGTCTAATGTATTTAATATATAATATTTTCAATATTTAGTATTATATTATATTTGCAAATCGTATTACATATATCTGATTATAATACATAATATATATATTTTTATGTATCTCTAATTCTATCTTTTTTCTTATTTTATATATGTAATAATTATACATACATTATACTTTATATATAAATATTAAAAATATTTATTTGTATATATATTTTTATATATAATTTACTTTTAAAATTAAATTATAGTAATATAAAAAAATAATTATAAATAAATAATTTAATATTTAAAATAAAAATAATTAAAATCATAATAAATAATTATATTATATATATAATATAAGATAAAAAAAAACCAAAATTATTTTAATGCATATTGCACAAAACTAATGATATAACCTATACAAAATTTAAAATATTTTGAAACTAAAAGCTAGCTTATTTTATTAAAATAGAATTCATTAATCATTATTCTTTATAACAAATTTATATCAGCATTTTATTGTTTCTACTAATCTAATTAGAATCTAATTAGAATAAATTTTAGAATATTATTTTTATTTTTTAATTATAAACTAGCATAA